TGGGAAGATTTAATGAACTGCAAATTATAAAAGCAGAATGTTAAAATAAATCTTCAACGGAATACCATAAGTCTAGGACTTATAATAAGCAATAGGGTAGATTGAAGAAGGGATATTACTACTATCTCTCTGATAAATCAAAGAACATGTTAAGATATAATAAGAGAACATGTTTATCGTTTCTTTACAAGTGAAAAAAAGTAAGGAATTAAAAAAAGAGTTTGCTGATTTTTAAAATGCATCACATTTTTCAAACAAATACAAAATCGAAATTGAGCAACCTTTCCTTATATATTTTGGCTAAATGCTCTACCATAACACCCGATGAAAAATTTGTTTTGATTAATTCGTACAAGAGTTCGCGAACTTCTTCCATCTCATCGCTTATATCCAAATCTGTATTATCTGCTGAAAATTTTAATTCAAAGAATAAAAAAAGAGGAACTGATTAAAATCAATCACTGCGAAAAATTTTGTGATAAATAAGAATATACTATCAACAAATTATTCATTATAGCTGTAAAAATCAATGGGACCACAAAATTGGAATTATTAATCTCCCTCACTAGGTCGACATTTTACCGGATCTAATATGTGACTGAAAAGAAATTTCATATCAAGAGTTCGAATTCAAAATATGATGAAAACATTATATGTGAGATGGAAAAGAATAATTTTAATGGGAAGCAATAATTCTTGCAAAACCAGAAAGAAGCTTCTTCGCTGTCCGTAATAATAAAAATGACTAATCTTACTGTGTGCATTAACGGAAAAGTAATGAAGCGAAACTGAGATAAAAGTATATGATTTCGTCCGATGGTTTTGAATTTTTGAGGAAATTTAAAAATTAATAGAAGTTATAAATTCATCTTATCTTTCTCCTACGATTTGTCTTTTCAGTTTAAAAAATAGTATCTTGAATTTATAACTTTTATTAATTTTCAAATTTATTCTCAAAAATTTCGTTTTTAAATTTCAAATGCAGAAAAAAGATCAAACAATAAAAACTGCAAGTGTGATATATTTCCTGAAAGAAACGTCTTTATCAGGACTGCTAATCCCTTACAAAACTTCCCTAAAAGGCTTCTCAACCCTAAACTTCCACATTTTTTCGTTGAAATTCCAAAAGATAGATGTATACATTATGAGTAGACTACATTAGCATTTATTTACCGTTGAAATTTGCTAGATTTTGCAGCGGAAATAAAAATTCAAATGTTGTTTTGCAACTTCAAATTCCACAACTACCATATTTATCTACTTTCAAATTCAACAAATTCATTCCCGAAAGTCTTAGCAAACTTCTTCCAACATTCCAACTTGCAAAACAAGTACAATCGAACCTTTCAAAGCAGAATATTGAAAACAACTAAGGAAAACTCTGTTTAGTCTGAAAATGGAAAACTTAAAAAAAAATGAAAACCGATGTCACAGAACCGTTTCAGGGACGAATAAGCACCATATCATATGAACATGAATTATAAAAACAGTAATTATATAAATAACTGACCTCTGTCAAATATTGTTTGTGGCATATTGACAAATCTTCGTGATGTCGCCATTCTTCTCCCTTAAGAATTCGAAAAACTTCAGGCTTTTAAAACTGAATAAAATTAATTATGCAAATTTGGTTGAAAAAAACATAATTTAAAAAATATACGATTTTTTGATTTGATTAATTCATGTGATGAGTATACTAAAACTGTCACAAATTCATAAATCTTTTTTTTATTGAATTTTCCAAACACATGAATAGGAAGTCAATAAAACGATATATACAACCATGACTGGTAACAGTTCCATATCAGTATTAATGTTATATTCCATTTAAATAAGCTAAGAAATTCCTCTGCATCTTCTCTGTATTTTTTTTTTTTTTTTTTT